GCGATTGGAACATACTGCTTGTTAGCTTGCTTATTGTGCCCAAGAGCATGATCAATGCAAGTCCACATCACGCTAATAAGAAACTACTTCAAACCACAGTTCGGGAGCTGCAGTTCCAACCACACAACTTTGCAAATGAATGTTCGTTGGAACTATGGATTCGAAAAACAGAAGCAATGACAAACTGAAACCATAGTTGGTTAACAATGCTTTTGGGATAATGGAGAAACTCCAATAACAAATTACCGGAAAAGGCGGATCGATCAAAAAATATATCAGATTTAAAGCTGTTTGTTTCTTTTTAATGTTGTGTATACTGATGGTTCATCCACACATCAACCAAATGCATGAGACCTCCTCAAATCATGCTCCAATGACTTACAGTGCTTGTAACAACATCTTTATCCAGATTGAACACCAAGTGCACTTCTTTTGGAGCCTAAAACATTATCATTACAAGCAGCAAATGATTGCCACACACTATTATTGAAGCCCTCTGAACACCAACCATTATAGGAGAAGTCACCATCCAGGTAACAATGTTCCAATTCTTAAATAGTTTTCAACAGAGTTAAAAAATTTGCAGTCTGATACAGAAGGCTAAGAGACCTGAACAATATGAAAGTGCTAGTCATTAATTTACAGAGATCAGGCATCACATAGTGCTATGACAAGTATCCAATATGCTACATTTGAATACACGTTGACACCTTACAAATGCCTCTGGTTGTTTGACCAGGCAACTTAAAAATCAAGTGCCTTGGTTAGTTATGTACAATATGAGATTTGTTTTTTTGTTTGTTTTTTTTTGATGAAGAAAAACGTTGACACTACTGCCAGAGGTATAACCTTGAAAAGGCCCTTTGGCCCATACAGTGACAATTTTGACATTATGTCTCAATTTCAATTAATTAGCCCCCGTAGTATGTGTGTGGGAGCTGCCATTATGGTATCCCTCTTATTTTTGGATTCCATAAGACAAATTGGTTGCCTTCCCACATCTTCTGGTGCTGTTCAAATTTGATAGTCATATTGAAGAGTGAGAGAGAAGAACCAGTTCTGGAACCACTACTTCAGGGAGCAACACAAGTGTTTTCATTTCACTACATTCAGTCACAGTTAGAAAGGGGAAGGGCGCTGCCACCAAAGTTGAAATTGGATGGCACCACCGGATCTGCAAACTTGTATCCTCCATGCTTCTCAATCATCTTTGATTCTAAAAATCAATAGGAAAGAAAACCAGAAGTGGGATAACAGAAATCAGCAGGCTGAACAATTGGGTAACATTTTGGCAGCATATTAAGGCAACACTTACATTAATCTGGATAAATTTGAAAATGCATCTTTGTTTTTCTCTTAATGTTGGTCTTTTGACCACACCGAAATGCATTTTTTAATAGCAAAAACAATTTTCTGAATAAAAAAAAAAATTGTAAAACCCGTTTTTGCGTTGTAGTGTAGATGGTGAAAACAGGTATCCAAAAAAAATAGAACTACGCTAAACTTCATTTAGTCGTGATGCATTTTTATGCATATTGTACAACGGCATTGTTGCGTCTATCCATGTTATTAATGTTGCTTGAAATCAATGTTATTTTGTACAACCTTCATCTTACACTCCTGCAAAGATGACAATATTTACTCGCAACTGCTGTCTAGAGTTGGGCCAAATTGGCATCGGACTATGTCCACAGTGAAACATTGCGATGGACGATGACATCCCCAGGAGGGTTGGGGTGTGCCTGAAGCGTAAATCCATATTCAGAAAGCCACGGAAAACAGATAACGCTTTCCAAGAAGCCACTAAAGGGACATGGTTAGCCGCTTGCTAGCGGTAGCTTGTTACATTACAGTAAATAAAATTTACACTTGCCACATAAAGAGAGTAAGGAGAGATGACCGCGGACGATGGCGAATGACTTGCAGATCCTGAGCACCACTGACCAACATCTAAGCAAGTACTGGCGCTTCGTAGTATACACAGAGTAAGTTATGTGTGATCGCCCATCTCGAAAGTTAAAGTAAAAAGCGAACGTGCATTCAAAAGCGATTTCAATGACCTACATATTAATAACCCTTTTAGGCCCAACCCTACTGCTGTCCCTAGACAATGTACTGAATGCTGATTTTAAGTGTGACCTAGACGCACGAAAAGTGATGTCAGTGTGGACTAGTGACTTTTGGAAAATGGTAGTGTGGACTAAGAGTTCGAATCAAAAACACCTTCAAATATATCTAGATTCATGTGCACATAGCCTAAGTGTTTCCAGCTTTTCACAGACTAGCATAAAGTACGTTTTGGGTCCAATGTCTGCCAGAAATATACAAAATTAAATATTGGTAGTACGTCAAGGGGGAAAAGTAAGTGCTGCACAATCAATTCCTCAACCAGCTTTTCCTTTTTTTCCTTTTCCTCACCATGTGCTGCTTGTCGCTGATCTGCGAGTGTTGCAATATCCTGAAGTTGTTTTCTTTGTTCCTCATCGAGACACTGTGTGAGCGCCTGGTACCATGCTGGGTCACGGGCCTGGACATCTAGAGGAAAGAGAGCAGTCTCTGAGTAAAACACTCTTTTGAAGTCGCTCATTTAATTCGTACTATAGGTGAAAGCCATACTCTGTATTATGGCTTTGAAGATCTGGTATTCATCAACAAGGTTGTCCTCGTCGTCAACTAAGGTCGTGTAACTCTCAAGAGCGGTCTCCTCTGCGTCATCTTCCTCCCAGTCTTCATCGTCACCATCCTCTCCTGCTTGTTTAGCTAGCATTTCAAGGTAATCCTGGCCTTCATCATCTATGTCGTCTTCATCACTGCCTAACTCGGCTGCATGGATACACAGTGAGTCACATGTCAAAATTACAGTTCATTACTTTGAAACAACAGCAGGAAATAAAGCAATTTAATCAAATATACCAATTCACTCAATTCGACATTCCATTTATAATGTAATAAATTAACTGGAAGAAATACAAGCTGGGCTCATTATTTGATCCAACTCCAAATTGGATTTAATTTAATATTTGATGCATTTCAAAATTAACCGATTTTCCAGTCTATTACTATATAGCTGCTTTCAAACAAAATGTATTGTATAAAGAGATATTCAAGTAAAAAAAAAAACCCTACTAATGTTTGATTTGTTACTTTTTAGTATCATTTGTTTTACATAATGTAAACAAATGGTATGCAGTATCCATACTGCAATGTATAACTCAATGGCTAAATATTAATGTAACCAATATCTAAAACTACTCATTCATTTTATTCAGAAGACTGAAATACTGCTGCTACATGGATAACAGACTGAAGATCTGATAAAGCTCATTTACCATTCTCTTCTTCCTCCTCTCCATCCTCATCCTCGTCATTTTCATGTTCAGCCCTGCAGGCATAGGCCCTCTTCAGGCCGTTGAACAGGAGAATGGCTGCAGGGAGGAGCTGACCTGCGACCTGATTGACAGCCTGTGGCCTCTGATCAAGATCCATTAGAGCGCACAGTCCCAACACGCACATCTTTCGATCGTGGAGCCTGCAAACAATACAAATCGCACGTTACAATGACCAGAACTTTTGTCCTGAGAAATGTTTGAGCTCTTTAGATGTCAGTGTGTACCCGAGGAAGCAGTCGATGTCTTTGAGCCATTGGGAGATGAAGTGGTTGGTGATGGGCTCAGTGTTGTTGGGGAAGCGCAGATTCTCCAGTGTGTTGAGGAGCAGAGGAGGGCTGTAATAGAGTGCAGCGATGGCCACCTGCAGACACATGGTCCTCAACTCGCTGGTCTTCACTTCACGCGTCAAACGCTCCAAAGCGGTCGTTAGAAACAAGGGCACCACCTACAGGAACAGGCACCAAGATGAACCTTTTCATTACATTTCCATTATAGCCAATATGTTTTCATAATAGAAAACAGCTCTGTTGTCATAAGGTCAATGGGCCTCATTCATGAAACATTCGTAAATATTAGTGCTGTGCTCGATACATCGATACGACGATGTATCGTCACAGAGATTTGACGATACGAGTATTAGAGCTGTCAAAAAAAAAAAAGAAAAAAAATCGAATTTCGAATATTCGTCGAATTAAAAAAAAAAAAAATCCACATTTTTATTTTTAGGTCTTTGTCAGCCGTCAGGCAGCCTTATTAGTGGCATACGAAATGCGACGACGATGTAAGCGTCATTGCATTTTAATGCTTTTGTTAGTCTATCCAGTTGAACCCACTAGATGCGGCGCTGCTACGTTGTTCATTCAATATATTGCGGAAAACAAGAGCATCAGTGTGGAGATTGTTTTTTATGTCAAAACTGAAACCAAGCCGTTCACACAGAACGCATATTTATCACATTTTCTAGAGGGACATTATCAGCGTTGCACTCGCACAAGAGCATGTTTAGAAAGCCATGTAAAATTAATGCAAGTTCAACTTTTAAAAAACATGTCTCAAGACTTCATGGCGGTTTTCCCCATCCCACTGTATCTCATGTTTTTAAATGAAGAAAGTAGCCTACTTTTGTGATTGGTTTTCGGTCCTTTGTATTAAACTATACATACATGGTGCTGTTTTTTTTCTTCTAATTAAGCAACTTTATTAATTATATATGGTTTATAAACATTATTTTAAACATGCACTTTTTTCAAAGATAGTCATGTTTTTTTATTACGCTTTGAAGAAACGTGCATAATATTTTGCTCGATGCGCACTCTTGTGGCCTCAGGAGAGAAGCCAAAAGCTTTTTTTCCCCCTAACTGAAATTATGCCTTTTAAATTCTAATATAATTCATATTTTGATCATATTTAAGTAGAAAATTCGAATTTAGTTTTTCAGTCATTTTGACAGCCCTAACGAGTATCGATACAGGGATATTGTGGCACGTGCGCTGCAGTGGACCGAGTTTAATTTGAATACAAGAACAGTTTAAAACGGAGTAGAAAAGTGCAAGGTTTCTAAAATATAATGAATCGAGCATAATACATAGGCTACAACAAGGTTTAATCTGGCCGCAGAGGAACACAACCGGGGTTGCCTGATATAAAGGGACGTAATCTCTGAAAAAGAGCTTCCCACTTGCACAATTAAGAAATATCTACTAAGTGTCTTATTTGTTTTTGTCAATCTGGCAACCATGTGCATGTGTGCTCTCTCCACTGTGGATAAACGCACCGGCATTCTGAAAACACCAGTTAGCTTGCAGTTTAGCGATCTCCACTTCAATAATCTATTCTCAGAAAAGTGTAATTCATCAACTGTTCATTTACGATCTCCACTATTCTATTATCAGAAAAGTGTAATTTATCAAGTGTTCATTTATGAGAGAGAGAGTGAATTTATGTGTATGTATGAATTACCACCGCTTTGCCGTGTTTCTCTATTAACAGTGAAGCTGTGGATTTAATTGCGTTAGAAACGATGTTACCAGCTCCTTGTTGAGAAATATAATGTAGCTCTTCAGCGTTTAAGCTTTTTATTGATAAAATTGCGGGGCAGCACCAAAAATTTGTCTGAGTGCGAAAAAGAATGTCTGTGCGCACGCAGTGTTATCTAGTGACTAAATGTGTGCACGCGAGGTACAGTGAAGACAGCGCATTAGTTTAGAACTTCTAATTTTTTTTTACATTTTTTTTTTAAACGTAGAGTGTTAATTTGTGCAATGATAACCTACCAGCAATGTTAAAATAATTTTAATATATTAGAATGAGTACATTACAATAAAAATGTATTAGAACGAGTACATTATTATTTATGGGCTTAAAAACAAGATGCAAACAATCAGAATATTGTACCTGGCGGGGAGTGCACCACGTGTAAACATGAAACATATGCCATTACCTATACTGTACTGTGTACAGTTATGGAGCCCCTTCATAATGCAGAGGTCAACTGCCTGCTCTGCCAAAAGTTAGCAACAGCCCTACAGTATGCAGTGTTTCATAAACAGCTGTTTTACTAAATTCTTCTGAGGTGAAATTCAGTGCAGTCCCGTATCGTGATACGTATCGTATCGTCTGTATAGTGATACGTATCTTATTGCAACTTTGCTGGTGATACACAGCCCTGGTAAATATATGAGTAAATTCTGAGCAATTTGCGCTTAAAACGGACATTCCCGAAAACTCTCCTCCGTATTCACAAACTTCCATAAACTTCCGATTTGATAGTTAAACATGCGTATGTTAATGCATTCCAATCATTCGTAAATAGGGCGCTCGTGCATGCTCATTCACAATTAGCATAATCCCCGCCTATGAATTACAGCTACGCAAATTGTGTGTCCAGGAATGCAGTGGAATATTCTGGTCTACTTTATCAGGTTTGGCTCCAGTATATTGCATAAATTCAAAAAAGACTAATAGGCCATATGCCTATCAATAAGTATTCAATAACGTGTGTCCACCGTTTTTCGCCAGCTGAAAAGATGTCAGGCGCTCTTCTGAAAACGGCAAGCTGGTGGCGCTTGACAACGCTTTGGTGGCACAGCATTTTTCCAGCCGAGAGGCTTTGGTTGCTATGATTAGGAATATCCACGTAAGTAACGTATTACTAGTATCTCATTTTGAAGAATATTACTGAATATAAAAATGCAGTAACCAGCAATATAAACTTCTCTATTGTTGTTCAGTTGCTGTACAAGTAGGATGATTGGTCGGTGTAGTATTTGTCCCGCCCCTCCTCCATTGATTGGACGGCTGGGTAAAAAGTGAGTGACAAGCGCTGCATTTTACCCAAAGTTGAACAGTTTATCAACTCTCAGCAAAAAAAAAAAAAAAAGAGCAAACGAACTTGTAAATTATATTATAATGGCAGCACATCAAAATTCAGTGTCATCAGTTTGCCAAAAAGAACACAGAACGTTTTCTGCACCATTTACACGAGGTAGGGAGCAGGTGTACATTTCTTTCGTACCAACTAACATTTTGAAAATACGAACATTTTCATGAATTCGAAAGTTTACCTCAGAACGGCTTTACGAATGATTTACACAAATTAATTCTGCTCATGTTTCATGAATGAGGCCCACTGTTTTTTTTTTAATGGGTTTTTGGTTAAATGTCTGAAATAAGGTCTGTGGTGCACATTGTAACATGGACAATGTTCAGGAAACACACCTGGTCAATACCACGACCTTTGCACTGTAGAATGATGACTTCCAACAGCTTGGCCGCATGGCATTCTGGGTCCTCCCCTGGGTCTCCTGACAAAATCTGATTGAGCACACAGTCTTATTAACACAGTCATATCACCAGTTTCTTCAAGTTAAAGGAAGTTAGAAACTTTATGGTAGCACTTTGTTTTTACAGTCCTTTTCTAAATGTATGTACTATGTACATACTAGAGTAAAAAGGTACTAACCCTGAAACAAACCCTAAACCTAACCTTAACCCATATTAAGTAGTGACCTTATATTTCTCAGTACTTTCTTTATACATACATTGTTTAAAAAAAAAATGCAATGGATTTCACTTTTGGTTTGCATTGAAGTAGCTGTACCTTTTTGCACATACTGTAGATTATTTCAAGGTATTTGGTGTCAGACAGGAGTGTGTCTGTGTCAACTGTGATGTAGTTATGGAGAAGTGGCATCATATCTGAAATAAAAAGGGTACATGAGGAATTATTTTAATATCTACAGTGAAAGTAAACAATTATCACACTTTTTCAAATTTGTACAATCATCTGACATTCTGTTTACAATTTAAAAAAGAAGTTAATCAAGTGAACATGCAAAGTAAATGCCAGACACTGCACTACCTGTGAAATAGTCAAATCCGTCTTGTTGGAAGACCTCATAGACCAGAGGGAGCAGCTGCCACATCTGAGGGGATACCTGCTGACATGTCAGACTGTGGGCCAGAGACAGGATCTCCTCGTAGAACTCTGGGAAAATTAACCCAAAACAATCAATACACAACCAAAAGGTCACACAAAACAGGTTTTTCCATTAGTGTGTGAAACTCACCCAGGACGTGCTGCTGGAGGACTGTGCCGATCACCTGCAGACAGATGCCCTCTAACTGCTGGGTAATCTGAAATCAATCAATCAGCAGTGTTAATGCACAGTGGCATCTCTCCATACAACGTCAGAATCACAAATATTACCACTAATGTTTGGCGACCGCAAAGTAAGCAAATACTGAAGAGTATGTTTAATGTGCTATCTGAAAGTGTGCTTGTCCTATGTCTCTCCAAACTCCACCTGGTTTGATATCTTCTAAAAATAAATGACATTCATACATTTTTAAACAAGCATTCAGTTCAAATTCATTGCAAAGGGATTAGCATGAAATTGCATACAGTGCAAAGAAAGCGTGTATGTATATCGATTTCCACAAGGCTATTTAAAAATGCTCTCCAGCCAGTGAGGCACTTTGTCAGAAGTTGGCGTACATGTTTTTTTTTTCCCCCACGTTTGTGGGTTGCTGGAAGTAATTCAGCAGGGTGCTACAGGCTAGAGCAGTGGTTCTCAACCCGCGGCCCGTTCGGTAAAATTGAGCATCAGAATGGACATATTTGTTAAGGGAGAAAAACGAAATGTGGAAAATGCCAGCGAAGGAACACATACAAACAAGAGTAGTCGCAGCAGTGAAGGTAGGAGAGTGCTGTACTTTCGGCATCAACTTTCAGTTTGCCCCGCCACTCACTTGAAGATGTTCTAGAGCCCTGCACGGGCCTCAAATATAGGCCCTAGTCCGGCCCTGGCCCGTGACGTTCAGGCATCACGACTTGCTTAAAATAAAATCTATAGATATAAAACAGTGCAAGCATATAACAATGTTTTAACGTTAAACCAAGATAAATGTGCGCTATATCCAATAGTTTGTGTGGAGAGTGGAAGCTAACGCGCGCTTTGCAGGACATAGAGGCGATAGCGCGATCACTTGCATTTTTTTCAGTGGATACGCCATAATTTTCACTCATAAAAGTAAGAGTAATACATCATTCGTAACTGTAAAGGGTCTACTTTTATGTGTGTGCACTCACAATGTCAACCAAATGTTGTGCTTTTATTTATTAGTAAATAATTCAAATATCTCCTTACTATTTTCCCCCTGACACATTCATGGTAATTACTTTTGCCGGTGCTTTCCGGCAAGCTTTAGCCTATTGCGTGCATTTGAACGCAGAACTGTTCAGCTGCGCTGATGGCATACATGCTGCTGCAGCTGGACACTAAACACCGTTGAGCCGCTCTTGACAGTCGCGGCAGCACGGTCTCATGTTGTTTCCACCAGCGTGGCAAAAAAAAAAATTTGTTTTTCTTCACTAATTGATGGATGTCTAAAATATAAAAATAAGGAGAAGCCTAAAACAAGCCCGATGCCCGGCCCGCGGCAAAACATCTCTGGAGAGAACCTCAGATTATTAAATTCGAAAGTGCTTTCCATATTTGGATCAACATAGGCTACATTTGTGAACGCACATTTTGTGCAGTGTCAAGTCACGTCAAGTCACGCTTCCGTGCGTGTCTTACAGACTGCAACTCACAATCGCAACTTCATTGTGCTGTTACTCCTTTCGAGCCGAATTTCACAAAATTGGTCAGCTCCCGACAGCATCAGGTGTTTTATTAATGGGGAATATAATTATTTATTTATTTAAATGAATGTAATCGATTAGATATCATAATATTTAGGCTATAATAGGCTATTATAAATCTGGTTGGTTTGTATTGGTGACATATGTAAATGATATGCGTGCGGCCCGTGAGACTTGCGCATGGACCATAGTGCGACCCAGTGGAAAAAAAAAAGGTTGAGAACCACTGGGTTAGAGAGACAGGAAGAACTTCTGCAGTCCATGTTTCTATTTTCTCACCTCTTTATGGTCCTCCACTACACTCAGCAGTGTGTCAATGGTGTTAAGGATGCCCATGGCGGTCACTGCTTTATCGTCACCTCCTTCCTCATCAGGCCCTGTCTGGATCACCTGGTTGAAGGTCATGGCCTGGGAGAGAGGAATCAAGCAGGAATGTTTACTTCCGAGATGATTCACCACAGCTCTTTGTGCAAATTACTGCAACCCTATAAAGCCTACAGCATAATATTTTATATATTTCTAAGGCCTCTAAATAATATCGAAACATTGCTGGAAAACCTGTTGTATACGGTCTACTACTTGCCATGTTGTCTGATTGATAGTTTATACCTTTTTAGCAAGTAAATGGTCTTTTGGTATAATTCTAAAAACGTCCACCTTTGCTGTGAATTCTTTACTGATTTTCATAAACTAAACATAAGATATACATTTTTGGTCATACCACCCAGCACTAAAATGTAATCACATTATTTTTTCAAAATTATACCGGTTTCACGGTATATGACTGTATTTTTTTTATGCATGACTGGGCGTTAACCACATTTTCTACTGATTGAGAGAGGAAATACTGCAGTAGATTGACTCAGAAATGCCCTATTTTCCTGTCATGATGAGTGAATATTGTAGAAAGATTCCACACAAAATGGTGACTAAATACGACCCATTAATACATGTTAACCAGGAGTCACTCTCACTTTACTCTTTAAATCCTGATTTATAATTGCAACATTGTCTGATAAAATCAACATGAATCTACACTTAAGAGCGGCAGTGCGGTTTTGGCTACATTCTTTTTTATCACATGCAGCGCACTGCCTGCGACTAAGTAATAAACTAAGTGCATATTAACAGACGAACTATGCTCATATTTATACTCGGTACGGCCAGCTGAATGCGCTGCTTCTCTGCCGCTCACTGCGCAGAACAGTAGGGGTGGGAGAAAAAAAAAATAGATCCATCGATGCATCGTGATTCTCTCTCCAACGTTTTGGAGTTTTTAACCAGATGCGCGATGAGGCTGAGTTTGCTTTAGAAACACCCGTATTCTGCTTGCTTCCAATTCCTCACACACATACCCCACTCGAACCTTCCGTAAAAAAATCTTTCATAAAGTTCGCAAAGGTTGAAGCAAATTACAAGGACATTCGCGGGCTTCATTTCACCGGATGCGCTGTGAGAGCGCTTTGTTTGATGTTACACTTGAAGTGTGCGGTCTCGCCCGTCGGTATTTTCCTTACAAATGCTCTACGAAGTCATCATTTATGTGGTTTGGAATGCAGTGGACTTATATATTTAAAATATGAACTTCACTAACAGAAAACTGCTTACAATTTCAAATGCTAACGCATGCTTTGTTTGTGAAGACTGCTCGCGCATGCGGCTGTGCGCGATAAGTGGTTTAATGCACTTGCATCTCAAAATGGTTTTATGACGCAAAATTAATATAAACACAGCCAGTTATGTCTTAAGGGATTAAACGGACAGGACAAACCACATTACTTCTTACATTTCAAAAGAGATCCGTGCGTGAATGCAGCTTAATAGATCTCCCGCTGTCTATGATGTCAGTAAAAAAAAAAAAAAAAACAGTAAAGATGAAGAAAAATCACTCTCAGTTCTTGAATGGAAAACGTTCAGATAATCTTAAATACTGAAAGCACTCAAGTGTTTTGTTGTTTGTAATATGTTTCTATTCTCCTCTATTATTTGCTTCTTGCCTGTATGTTTTGAAGGTATATTAGTTTAAAATTCTTAACATACAACTGTTTTAATTATTTTTTTCAATTTGTATTTATTTTAAAAAGTACTTAATTACTTATGTAAGGATATGTAAATGTAAGGATTTTAAGATTTTCAAGTCGGTAAACTAATTAATTAAGGGGGGAAAAAAGTAGATCAAGAATCGTTCTGGAATCAGATCGTGACTTTCGGAATCGGATCGGATCGTGAGGTGACTAAAGATTCCCACCCCTACAGAACAGACAGCGAGAGGGGCGATACAGTGCCGGAAGAGTCAGATCTCACGCTCATGGGGCAGTAGTGGCAACACCTTCCAACTGAACGAAAGCTAAGGTTTATCCAAAAAGTCGCTATGTTTGTCAGTATGTACCTTTTATGGGAAAAAAAATATGTAAAAAAAAAGCCGTATTTAAATATCATCTTACTAACACCATTGGGACATATATGGCGCTTTTCCACTGTGTGATACGACTCGGCTCGGTACGGCAAGGCACGGCTCGGCACGGTTTGCGTTTCCACTGCAGTTCAGTACCGCTTTAGAGTGGGCGGGATTATTCACATGTCGTTATAATAGTTGCGCCGCCTCTACTACCACGACTCCTAAAAAAAACGTTTTCATTCCGCGTCGCCCCATCATGCTCTCGCTGGATCCGCTCCTCTGTTATCAACAAGAGGGACGTCTGTTCTTCCGCAACAGACAACAAAACTTTTTGGT